TAATTCTGGCTGCCTGTGATTTGAGTGTTGCTGTCACCTTAGCATGCTTTGCACGAGGGACTCCTGATCTTCTGATGCAGGTCTTGCAACCGATATGTCGCTCCAATGATTTTGGACGCAAAAAGAATTTCGAGCACGAAGGACATTTTCTTCCAGGATTTGTAATTTCTTCATGCGCAGAAGTTTCCATATTTTTCTTTTGCCTCATACGTTTCTCCTTTGGTTTGTGTTCAAAACGTGGAACCTTCTTTTCTGATTCTTCCATATCGAAAGCAGACGTGACTCCCGTGGATGTGCTTTCGGAACATATATAGGAAGGCCATAACTTTAACAGTTTACTTTTCTTAAGGGTTTTGCTTTCGGTTGCATTTGTTTGTTCTTTCACTTCTATTTTCTTGCAAATGTTATTTTCGTAATGGTAGATGAACTCACTGTGACCGGTTATTCCTGCCCATGTCTTTGCACTAGGTGGTTCTAAGTTACGATTGATATTTATTTCGTATACATGGGTGCCTTTCAAGTGATCTTTTGTACCATTTGTGATGTCTTCACTCAGTTGAATGTCGTTCCCTCGTTTCATCCAAGCCCTCAGTACAAATTTAAAAGTGGCGAAGTGCGCGTCCAATGCTGTCTTCCCTTTTTGGGCTTCGAAAAACGAATACTTGTCTACTGTCAGTGGACAAAACTCGGGTAGACGCATCAACCATAACATTAGAGATGTGTTGTGATAGTGAGGTCCGTTGTCTGACCATATGGAAACTGTATGAATGTTAGGGTGACGAGCTTGAAAATTTGTAAACGACGCCTCAAATGCGCTTGCTGTAAAGAACCAATTCTGTGTGCAGTCTCCATTAGAAAATAAATCATGGATTTCGATCTCAATCTCAGACGAATCCTCAGAACGAAAGAAGAACATACATCCATGGACAGAAACTCCCTTCTTGGCGTACCAATCCTTTTGTGGCTCCCGGAACTTTTGTAACAAGAGCTTCATCATGTAGTCGCATACTGCGATCGTTTGGCCGGAACGAAGCTCACGTATGGCTTTCAAAAATTCTTGCTTTTGGTACTTGCCACGAACGAGATGAGCTATATACATTCGTGACTTTAATTCAATTCCATCAAGTAATTCTTTGTAGTGGACCTTTCTTTCTTTTGGTAGGTTGCTATGGTAGACACATTCTTGAATATCTTCAAATAACAGATATCTCTCGAAGCATTTGTTGCATATTTCTTCATGGTCTTTGCACTTGGGTTCCGCTTCAAGCAACCAGGTCATGCAGTGGCAAGGAGTATTTGACGTACTGCTTAGGGATTGTTGGAATTCCGATAATAGATGACCTCTGAAACCTTTCAATCTCTTCCTGAGCGCCTGTGTCAACGGTAGATCGGATAGACCAGGTTTTACTTCCACCATCAGAATCGGAGAGTCGTAAGGCAGCGGGTCGATTTGCTGCTTGTCGTCTTCATGGTTTGATAAGTCAACCATTGTCACCACTTGGGATACAATTCCACGGCCACAGTCAACTTCGGGGGTTTCTGCTATCAAACTTGGTTTTGGCTTGTGCAATTTTATCTCCTCGTCTAAGCTGGAAAGCAGCGCGTCCAAACTTTCAAAATTTCGCGCTCCCACCTCGTCACAGATGTTGCATAAGCCAGCCATTTCTACCATTTCTTTGAAATTACCTGCATTTAATCCCTCCAAGAATTTAGTTCTACTTATTGGTCTGCTACCTCGCCTACAGCATTCTTCCTTGTATTTGTCGTAAAGGTGATGCTTTCCGTCTTTCAACCACAGAACGGGTAGTTTTCTTCCACCAACGAGATCTGAAATCCAAGATGAGTTTTTACCGTCACATGAAGCCATCCTGTGAGAAGATGGAACTGCATTATCTGGATGGTGAATAAAATTGAGGACAAACTCAAGGTCTTCAAGTGGAATTCTGTATTTCGTAACAAATTTATTTTTCTTTGGTGGTGTAACCCCAGGTCCATATTCAGTGGCTTGTCTACGAGCTTGTGTGATTTCATAGTCAGTGCAGTTAAATTTGGCTTGAAGTTCCTTGTTAGAAAAGGCGTTTGCAACGGTGCTTAAAATTCTAGTCTTTCCGGCGGGTCCTGGCGGTTCTTTTGTGTAAGCCTTTGCGATACCATGAACCACTTCGAGCAATTTTTTGTCGGTTGTGCTACTAATTGGTACTTTATCACAAACATCTTCAAATAATTCCCGTCCTTCCCCTTTCGATATTTCGTCATACTTGCCAACCAGTTCACTCAGTAAACTCTTTGCCTTTGATTTTATTCTACGTCTCGTAGATACGCTTCCTTCGCTGAACTTTTTCCTTGGTCTTCCTCCGTGGTTAAGCTTGTTACTCGAGGCTGGATATCTCTCACTGATGTTATTGCTGAGTGGAGGTGTTGATGCATCTAGGTGTTGAACGTTGATGTTACTCGAGGCTGTATATCTCTCACTGATGTTATTGCTGAGTGGAGGTGTTGAGGCATCTAGGTGTTGAACGTTGATGTTACTCGAGGCTGTATATCTCTCACTGATGTTATTGCTGAGTGGAGGTGTTGAGGCATCTAGTTGTTGAACGTTGATGTTAGTCGAGGCTGTATATCTCTCACTGATGTTATTGCTGAGTGGAGGTGTTGAGGCATCTAGGTGTTGAACGTTGATGTTAGTCGAGGCTGGATATCTCTCACTGCTGCTATTGCTGAGTGGAGGTGTTGAGGCATCTAGTTGTTGAACGTTGATGTTACTCGAGGCTGGATATCTCTCACTGATGTTATTGCTGAGTGGAGGTGTTGAGGCATCTAGTTGTTGAACGTTGATGTTACTCGAGGCTGGATATCTCTCACTGATGTTATTGCTGAGTGGAGGTGTTGAGGCATCTAGTTGTTGAACGTTGATGTTACTCGAGGCTGGATATCTATTGTAGGTACAGATCACAGAATCCATTTGGCTTATAGCTTTTGGAATGTAATCGTTATTTTCTACTTTCAAGCTAGTCGCAATGTATTTGTATATTTTGTACGAGCAGGCCCGGCGCACATTTTCGTTCTTTGACACTTGAAATTTTTCTTCAATGATGAGTTCCTCTTTGTCAGATAAATGCAATTCACGTAATATCATTTTTCTTCTCGGCGTAGTGCAATTTAATATGGGACACTTATTCTTGTATTTCGGAAGTATTCTCGACATTCTACACGCAGAACAAATTATTTTGCCTCGTGTTGTGATGAATTCATCCTCCGTTAAACCTAATTGTGTGTAATTTTCTGTTGTAACGTATCTTTTCTCTTTTTCAGATGACACTATTTTGAAGCAGAAGATGCATGGATCGTCTTTTGGTCGTACACGCTCCATTTTTAAGCTAGAAATAAATATTTGAAATTCTTATAAATCATGCTCTGTTGAAATAAACTCAAAACAATATTTTGTATTATTATGGAAAAACGATTATATAGATACAAGTCATAAATTTATATAGATGTATTTTAAAATTGCAATTTGTAAAAATAAAAAATCCATTTTATTGTTATTGTATCAATTTTTATTGAACTCAAATGACGTTATTGTCGAAAGGATGTGTTTTTTTTTTAGAAATATCCTCCCCAGAATTCGGAATTCGTCTTGGCCAGACCTTTGTTCACATATTTTGATTTTTATGCCCTGTGTGTACACTCGAGTAGTTTGTGTAACCTTGGAATAATTGTAAATTAAGGACAAGTTAAATGAAAAATACTTCAAATGAGGCAAAATCATTTTACACGCTAATATCACTTCCCCTTGCCCACACCTTACAATGTTATTGGTTTGCAAACATTTCACATTTTGAAAAACGTCAAACAATGAACATGTATGGTGGCGGGTTGGGGGTGAGGGGATAATCTGTATATGTTTACGTACATTGTGATCTGATGGGAAGGAAACGTTATTGGGCGTTTTTATATTTATAGGTACTATTAGAATACGCGAGAAATGCGCCACGGCGGAAATGGTCCCGACTTTATTATTTCATGATTATAGATTTCCCAGTATTCACGCATACGTATTGCATTGGGTTTACATAAAATCGAAAGAGTTGCGGATATATCAATCCCAGAAATCTCAACCTGCCTATTGCTACGTCCTACGACCCTTATACTGTATGCATGTATTGTATAAACGCACTAACGCGCATCAATATAATTTCTCTTTGATCTTGATACATATAAGCATATAAATCGTGCACGAAAGCCAAAGTAGTAGCAAGATTTTACACAATATTAAAGCCGCATTTACGGAAATTTCCACAATTATACTGTGAATATGACTTCTAGTGGGTCCTTATCATCAAGATACAATCCCAATTATAACACTAAACAGGTTGCTACTACAGAGTGTCTCGAAAAAACAATCAACAATATAAAATGTTATCATCCTTTCTTTTTTCATTTCAAAATAAATGTCATTCGATTAAGAACACACAAAATTAATCATGAATCATTTTGCTTCAGCTTCCTAGCCTTCCTTTAATTTACCTCTCTCCCCGGTTCAGCCGTTATTGTTATGTTGGTTGCTATGCAACTGGTAAAACCTGCTCGTCGTGCTCGAAAGTCGAAACGTTTTGCCATTGTCAAGCATGCAAAGAATACTTGTGGAATATTTTGGGTGTATATATCGTGAAAGTGATAAAAATTACTCCACAGAAAGCTGATTCACGGAAATTACTGATATATAATAAGTGCTAACAGTTTGAAAAACGTGTTTCCCTGGAGTGAATATTATAAATGGAGCAAAAAAGGTAAGAGATTTTTAGTTTCGAATACAACATCAAATTTTTAAATTCACAATTTAACATTCACAAAAACTGTTTTTCTTTTCTTAAATACACAAATTATTTTCTTATTTAAAAATCCTAAAACTCCTAAGTTATAAAAAACTTGTCTTATACTCTTCTGACAAAAGAAGTGTCCGTTCTTTGGATTAGGACATCATGCAACTCTGACTCAGTTCATATTTCCCCGCGAATCAATGCAGCTAGCACAAGCCTAATTTGGTTGTAACTGAAAGCATTTTGAAGTGCATCTCGCACGATTCTTAAGCTAACGTTGTCTCTCCGTAGCTCAGCAGCAATAATATCTGCTTCTTCATTATTTAAATTAAATTGTGGTGCCAGGTCTTGGTAAGATAATGGGGCACCAGAACAATATCCGTCGATTGCACATACTTCTGCTGTGGCAGTAGCAACGTTCAGGACTCTCGCAATTACCAGAAAAGAATTATCCCCTTTCATAAACATTTCAGTTGCTTGAATCTTTTTCGATGAGGGCTTATTTTTGCCGTAGAGTGCTCTCAGAGTTTGAATGCTCTGCAAGTCAAGATAAGAGTAATAATTTGTGAAAAAATGTGCAGTTTAGTTCGGAAATATATAAATGTTGCATGACCAGCGAGATTTTCACCAATTTAAACAGCAAAATAAAAGTTGCTCATAGATAAATATACCTTCTCGTTCACATCTGTAGGCCTAGTAGTCATTCTTGCTAAATTACGTATCTGAATTGAAGGGAAAGTAATAACATATTTACATGTATAGTCTAAATGTTCAAACATTGTTTATATATGTTGATTATATAGTTTACTATTGCCTTATTGGCTGCACGAATTTGCTTTTACAAATGTCCTTGAGTTAAAATTGTATGAAGACGAAAGCAGATCTAAAACCTCGTCGATGTCAGGTTTTTAGCCTTTAGAGTTTAGGACGAAACGCGCTACAGCTAAAATAAATATATGAAAGCTGCGAATCGAAAGAGTCTGGCCAAGATAGCAACAAGAAACACCGGAGAGTAATATTTTTCGCATCATTTTTAGATCTTCGTTTTAAAAAAGACTAGTTTTACATCTCTTTAAATTGCATAAAATTACGACATATTTTGACTGACTTTGAATGGCTTTCTTGTTTTCATAACACCGGAAGTTACAAAAAATCAGAACAATATTTATTACCAATTACACCAATTTTACGAAAGACAAAACGATATATTCTTTATATTTCTAGAGTAGTTAAAAGCACTTACCTGAAAATATAGCAGATTTGAACGGCTTTTCAGCTGATTTTCTCAAAAGTTTTAACTTTTTTGCTATTTTGTAAACGCCATACAGCTGACGCGTACGCGACAACGTCATTTTTTGCATTGCGTAGGTTTTGAGCGCTTTTCATCGAAAAGACGCGACATAGAAAAAATTCTCCTCTTAAACGGTTCATAATTTAAAAACAATATATTTTTAAAAAATTATTTATTAACAAAAAGTGTATTTCACAAATTATTAAAATGTTCTCGAAGTTTATCTTTGAGAGTTCTGATATGCCTTTTGTTCATCTTGTTCCTTGCTCTCGAACCTCTCTTTCTTTCCTCTAACATAATATATAAAGGTAGGGGGGATGCTGAAGAGGCACTCTGCAACACGTTCCAATGGATCTGCTTTAGGATTAGACAAATCGCATAGGTCTTCAATTAATGATTGATTGTCTTTGTATTCTTGAAATAATGATTCTATCAGCATAAATCAGGATTTTCTTCCAAGCTCAACAAGTGTTCCGTGAAATATTTTTCAAACGGAACATTCAGGATTTCAATAACATTAGTAAATTCACGCCAGACAGCGTAATTAGTTCCGGCTTCCTCTATAGCATCAAGACATACAACTCCCATTTTTCAAACTCATCCAACATTAAGCAGTCCTGGTCACGGATTTTACACCCGCAACAAAACAGGCTAAATTTCCTTTCAATGCTATGTGCAATGACCTTGGCGTATATTATTTCTATCAGACAAAGCTTCTTGTTTGAACCGCTCATTATGGAAACCATTATGGAAATGAACTTGTATTACTGATCGATTCAAATACACCCCCACGTTTTCACCAACACATTCCGCTCGTGCATACTAATTACTTCCGGCGCTCTATTCGCTCCTGTATACTAATTACTTCTGCCGCTATACAGGACTTCCGCCGCTATACGTACGGGGTAATACTACTACTGTTACATCCTAGATGAGATGTTCGAATGTGACTTAATGCATTTTCCATCCCTTTATTACTTTTGCCGAGGTATTTCAAAGCATCAGCCACCTTGAATCCAAACACCTCTCCACAAGCTTGAGCGTAAAATTTCAGTTCAAATAATTGCCGTACCTAAATATGTTCAAATTTCATTCACGTTACTCTCGTGTTACTGTTTAACCTTGCTTCAGGTTTTAAAGGGTTCGAGATAGATACAACGTAACAGTCAATATTAAGATTACCATGCAGTATATTGCATGAGTAATGGGGACGTTTCATATAATTTAGGAATAATAGACAATGCCAAAATTAAGAAAAACTGGCCGTATGGCATATCAAATAGTGATGTTCATAAAACGTGATATTTTTATTGCATTGAATTACTCATAATTGTTTCAGAGTCAACATTTATTCCTCCAAAAACCTTGCATGAGCTATAGCCTATCATGTAACTTACCTCAATTGGATTCTCAGTAGCACTTGTGACTATAGCGAGTAAAATTGCCGTCATGTCATTTCTTGGTGTCTCAGCTACTCTTGAAAGCTGCGTGTCGGCGAGAGTAATGTTTTTGTAGTGCTAACTACATTACAGAAAAAGTCCAGCAGTCCAGGAAACAAATGTTCTTTCAATCCCACCTTGTCTAGCATCTTATGAGAAGAAATAGAAAAATAATTACGTGCTTAGCATGTGGTTCAATAAAAATTATCTCAAATACGTTTTACTTTTAGGATAATGTGTGCTAGTTAAAACATTTGCAGCTCATCTGGTGATCTTTATCTGATATGCAAACTTGGGCTGAAGGCAATAGTTTCTATATGAGATAAAGATCAGATGCAAATTAATGTTTTAACGTTTTGGCCATGCCATTAGGAAAGTTTTCAAGTTGCATGGATTGAATGATTGTGGCTATACCTTTCCTGTTGAGTACAGCAACAAGGCATGATTAAACTGGGCACAAACATCCAATTTGTTTCTTTTCACTTGTTGTGACAAGATCTGTGTGAACGTCTGGTCCCTGTGCATTACACCAAACTGTGGAGCAAGCTCCAAAAATCACCAATGCTCTTTGTCAAATTTGTTGTTATATTTTTTAGTTTCTCATCAGGAAACATTCATCTTTCCAGGTTTTGTTCTTCATTTATTTCTTTAAATGGGATTACTGCAACCATGAAAACACTCTAATTTTTATGAAAGGAATGCGTTATTGAGTTGATAGATAATTTTATCAAAATTTGTATGAAAAAAGTAAGATATAGTACATGAATTATTACCTTGTCATCATTTGTTTATCACCTCTGAATTTTTTGAAATCGAGTTAGGATTCATTGTTATCAGAGCATTGGTTCCCTGGTTGCACATTTACTGTGGACTGTTCGGTTGATGGACTATATAATGTATATAAGAAAAGCAATAATATAATAATTATATGGCAGTGAATATACATACAAAATGTGATACACTATACAGTGATGCAGGATCTGGAGTTTGGAACTGGAACCACACAAAGTATGGAAATTAGCGGATGTTTCAGATATCTGATATATTCTAAATTTGGTCTAAGCACAATCATACTCAACAACATTCACAGTGGGTTATCTATATTGCTTGAAGAGGATTTTGAATATGGAAAATGTGGTGGGAATTGTTGACATGGATAGCTATCAAATAAACAAGAAGTATTTCTGCAAAGAGCTTGCTTGGCACACTGAAAATTGAAGAAATATCAGCCAGTTCCTATTTTTTCAATATCGGTGTTCATTGGGGTAAACTCGCCAAAGAAGATAAAGTCACATGTGTGTGGGTGAGATGTTTGCACAGGGGTAGCAAATCTTATAGTTAAGCCGCTAGAGTTCAACCATTGAGTTAAGCTCCATTCCAGTTAAACCCAGACCACAGGCATTTCCGTTGACGTCCTCACTAGGCATAAGCACAAACATAAGCACAACAGAATGCGAACAGTCAAGTTTAACACAAGCACAACAGCGTACGCGTGCATAGTTAGTTAAATCGTACCCATTCCCTACAACAGTCATTCAAAATGCAGGATGAAGACAAGGAAGATTGTCTGTTGGCGCTTGCACTTGTTACTTTACATAGAAGAAGGAAAAAAGATATAAAAACTAGAGATTTTGGATTTGTGATGTATTTCGATGTAGAAAAAGAAGTGGTGAATTTCATAATCTAGTATGTGAGTTTGACTTGGTGATCAAGAACTGTATTTTAGGTAAACAAATGTGCTGTTTTCATTTAACTCTCTTTGTATCTCTTAACAGCTATGTGAGAACAATACATAACTAGAGTGTTCAATTTAATTGCAGATACATGCGCATGTCCTCCAGAAAGTTTCAATCACATTATAGGACTGTTGGATATACTGATTTACCGAAAATATCAGTATTAAATCAATATCGGTATATCGATACCGGATATTCAACCATATCGTTATACCGAAATTCCCAATATACCGGAAATTTTCTGTATACCGTGTTAAATTTACCAACTATATGGCGAACCATAATCTTTATTTTACTACTGAATGGCAATTCAAAGAACTTTCTACTGCAATGATTTAGAATTTCCACTTCAGTGTGATTTTTTTTTCAGTGTGTTGTTCGAAACATGTTTGAAACAGCTTCGAAATTATCGTTTTCCCTTTTAGAATTACTCAAAATTTCCTTAAAATTTCCATTAAAGAATTTTCCTTTATAATTATCAAAGGAAAACCGGTATACCGATAATATCAGTATAATTTTTTCGGTATACCGATACCGGAAATTTTTCATACCGAACATTCCTATCACATTCTCTCTTTGGTTGAGCTATTGATATGTGAACCGATCTTACCAGCAGAGATTATCCCTTACAATAAGGTTCATACATCAATGTCATTTGCCTATCATATTGGAAGAACGACTGTCAGCAACATAAGAGAAACATGCTGTGCATTATGGGAAGCTTTGCATGAGAAATATTTAAAAGCATTTTGTCCACATGATGCATGGAAGAACATATCAGAAGAATTCACGTAACTGTGGAACATTCCCCATTGCATCGGTTCCATAGATGGAAAACACATTGCCATTGAATGTCCCAGTCACACTGGATCCCTCTATTACAACTATAAGGGATTTCTTAGTGTGGTATTAATGGCTGTTTGCGATGCTCGCTATGTTTTTACTTTAGTAAATGTGGGAGACTTTGGTTCTAATAATGACAGTGGAGTTTTAGAAAATTCAACAATTGGCAAAGCTTTTGCAAGTGATCAAATGGGTCTTCCTGATGAACAACATGTAGAAGGTTGTAAAATACCAGTGCCATATTTCCTTGTTGGGGATGGTATTATTGCATTAAAAAGCTGGTTTTTTGCGAGGTCTAAATTATCAGAAAATAAACAAATTTTTAACTATCATTTATCTTGAGCGTGACATGTTATTGAAAATGCTTTTGACATTCTAAGGGCGAGATGGCGAATTTTTAGCCATTCCATCAAGGGTTCAGTGACTGTTTGTCTCCATAATTAGGGACCGGTCATAAAGTATGTGTACTGGGGGGAGGTGAAGGGGGTATTCCAAAGTACTACGATAAAATCCCCCCCCCCCCAAAA